CCCCAAAACCCCAAAACCCCAAAACCCCATTAACCTATGTTAAAGCAATATTATGATTTAGACAAATTTATAAAAATTAATGAATATAAACGGATGAGTATCTATCTACACATACAACATATTTAGGTCATTTCATTATTGGAAGTGGATTAAGAGTGCACATTAATTCTCAATTTATAGAGTAGTATCAGAGCCCTTTCATTTACTTATTCTTTTTTACCCATTAGCATAATTGTAAGAATCATATTTTTACTGTTGTGTAGCAACAAATATATCATAAGCGTTGCTGCTAGCATTGCTTGATGAATCCTTTGAAGCATGGATACTCTTCTGTTACTTTGATGCTTTGCCATATTTATGCTAGTTAATTGATATCAATTTTTTGCTCATCATGCTCGAAGTCATGTCACTCTCAATACTCTCCTCATTGATTTGATCCATGTCATTGGGGAAGTATTTTTACTTCACATCATTTATTTTAGCACTCGGTGATAGCAGTCCTTCCATTGAGTCGCTTTACGATTCATCTCGGTCAGCAGCAGTATTGCTACTATGACTGCTTGTTCCTCCTAAACTTTCATTTATGGCAGGATCCACAGTTGTATTTCTAATTATTTATTGAAGATCCATTTGTGCCAGTTTATTTAAGCCAAACGCTTCTCTGTTATGCGGTCTTACATCTTCTTAAACGACTAAGCATTTGAGATAATAAATGAGATGAAGCAACTCCTCATCTTGCTTATTGACATAAAATGGCAATATTGGAATACCATTCTCAATTTGCATAGCGAAACTTAAAACACTGTTATCAACCAATACCATATCCTAAAGATCTCTATTAGCAATGATTCTTAAGTCCTTAATATACCCAAATTCAGTTTCAATGCAATGCTATCTGTATAATCTATATTAGATTAAAGATTGATTTGGATCTATAAAATCAAGAATAGCATTTGCATATTGCTAATCAGAAGCTGTAAATGTAATTACTTGATAGTATTCATTGATTTATTTCAGACATTCATAAAGATGTGGTCTGATATTGATCCCAGCATCTGCATAATCTCCTTCATCATCAAGGGGAATTCTTATTACAACATCAGGCTCCTCATTCTCTGGATCTCTTTCATCCAAGCAATGAATCATTGTTTCATCAATATCTAATATAAGTACTTTCTTATGTGATGGATTTCTAGGTGGAGGCAAGTAAATTCTTTCTTTTTTTAAATGATGCTTTTGGTAAGGTCCTAATAATGGAATTGTTTAAAGCGCATTAAAAGTCTGAATCAAATGCTGTTTATGTATCTCTACATTTTAGCTTTATTTTGGAGGTGCTGGATTATCAATAAGATCGATTGAATTATCATTTTCAGAGACTGAGTAACAATTTTAAATCTTGATATGGCCACCTCCTCCTCCAGAGGATATACTTTATTATTAACTCTGAGGGGGACAACTAAAATTTTGCATCTTTTTCTAATTATTTTAACCGAAATCTCCTGTACCTCCCACACTTGCAGAATTAAGATTTTATGTCCCACCTAGATCGGTATTAGTAATATTCAACTAACTATTTGTTAATATACTCACATCTTGATTTTAAGTACAATCAAGATTGTATGGTATAGAGATATTGATAGGAGTTTCATATTAACTAATTGACATATTTTCATGAAATTTAGACTCAGGTAATTGGAAATTCATTTTGGGATAAGTTCTCAAGTATTCATAGTTTATCTTTTGACTGATACATCTATTCTCTATGAATTCAATAAATTTCTATTAGTTCTCTTTGTTAAAGAAAGTACTAATGTGATAGGTCTTAATTGAATGACATTTATGAGGTGATTCCTCATTACTTATATTTTCTTCGCCCATTGACATCACTGATGGTGGACATTGCACATGTGTAACTTAAGAAACATCGATGTGAGGGTGAGGTAATTGCTTGAAGTTACCAGTATGCATAATAGTATCGTTAACATTAGGAGTATTTAAAGAATTCATGTTGAACTAAGTTATAGAATAATCATTCGTTTGTCTAGATTAAACTTGTGATTTTTATGAGACTCTTGAGTTATTTGATTATTTCAGGACTATAAGATTTTTTTAATCTTCATTATACTTACTGTTTGTAATCTCCATCAACATAGTATGTTGATTACTGCTATTAATATTTTTGAAGGAATCATTTTAGTTAGGGTCATCAACATACTTCTCATCCATTTCCTCTCTATCATAGCATGATGTCCTGTTTGACAAGTATGCTTTTTCCCCGAAATTACTGTTACTTTTAGTATTCATTGCTTCACTAAAATTATTATTGAGATGATTTTCTGAATACTCAGTGACTGGTAAGCCATTCCCAGTATTTTTATGACTGTTAAAGCTCTTAAGGTTGTCTTTGGTAGTGTTTCTTTAGATACTCTCCTGAAGTCTATTGAGTTATGATGGAATGTTATTAAAATCAAGGTTGTTTTTTGCCTATATTGGTGTAATTGACTATCTGTCAGTTTAGGATTAATTTTATTATGTTCTTCCATCAAATGTATTGAGAGCTTTGCTCAGTTATTTCCCAATCTTTGAATATCTTTAAGCTGATTATTGATTTGAGTAATTAGTGGAAGCAATGATAATAGAGCTCGTTGGTTTAATTTCTGGTTAGAAAAGAGTTGTCTTATTTGTACTTAGATTTAGGTTTTTCATGTTAGCACTGTTTCCTCTTGATTGATTTTTTGAGCCGCTATTTGTCAGACCAACTGAACTATTTCTGTTTCCACAACTGCTAGAGCTAACACCTTAGTACATGTTAGGCTTCAAATTAGAGGTATTTGTAGATTGCTTCATTGATTTAATGACAGCTTAATTCTATTGAGCGGGTAGTTGATATGTTAGCATCTGACTTGGGAGTAAAGTCTAGGAAAACTATTATCTGGTCCTTGACACAGGATCAGGAGTTAACTGATTGTGATGATTATTGTTATTAGAAGAAGATTGGTTAAAAGATGCAGTGATCTTTTATGTTTGCAGATTATTTTAGCTTATAATTTAGGCATTAGTCATGAAGTTGCTATTCTGAGCATGTCTCGACTAATTTGTTCCAAGAGAGTGTCTTGGGGCTGGTTTAGGAATTAATGACTTTACTCTCGGTTATGTACCCATATCACCACTAGCTGTTGGCATTTGATTTTACTAACTGATGGCTTCCTTGATAGAGTTTTTTCTGGTGCCTGAAAAGCTGCCATGGAGATTAGATTTCTATTGAAGGGTTTGAAAATGATTCTGCACTGATTGCTGAGAATGAGATGTTTGCTGCATAGACATATTAAAAATTAGTTGTTAAATTTTAATCTAAATCAAATAACACATAAACAGTCTCACAATCAAATTATCATTCATTATTGCTTATTAAAATATACTTATTTTAATTCACTCAATAACTCGTTTTTCAGTAATTTTTTCTCTTCATCTATGCTGCTTTTTAGCTGAATCTATTCCTATTGATATAGATTTTTAAGTTAGTCTAATTCGTTCTAAACAGTATTTTGTTTAGCTTGAGATTCCATAAAGAATGCTTTCATTTTTTCATTCATTTCATTCACTAAGTTAATTAAGTAAAGATGAAGGTAATTTTACTTTAATCAGAGATGATTTACTTTTATTTTGTACTTTCAATTGGATCTTTTAGATCCTTAGATTTTTCTTTTTTCAAATCTATTGAATCTTTGATACTACTTAATAATTTTCTCTATCTCTCAAGTAAGTCAGCCTATACATTAATTAGATTTTATTCTTATTACAAAGACAAAGCATTATAATTCCATTTATTCCATTTTAATTTCAATTCCATCCAATCTCCCTCTATTGATTTAAATTTCTTGATGGGGTTTTGGGGTTTTGGGGTTTTGGGG